ACGACTATTTTGCGACAGTTTACTGACTCATGTACTCTTTGCACACAGTTTTGTTAAGTACCTTTAAAGGGAAATCCTACCTTGTTATCAAACTACTCTAGAGAAAAAGAGCAAACATCTGAGAAGAAGACAGGTGAAAGTTTGAATGAAATCGGACAAAAATGAGAAAGCTTTGAATATTTGAGAGTTATTGTAATCACTGTATAGATATGGACTATTCAAAAATTGGCTGAATCGGTAATTATCTGCGGTGTAGTGGGTGGCAACATTCCAAATTGTTCCAACACACAAAATTGCTATCAACAAAAACATTATTACTCAGAAGGGTCTATTCTCTTAAGGGGACCCATAACAATATGATATTCATAATATATTTTGAGTAGTGCCCCCAAGGGATAAGGCGCTTATGCTAAAAAAAGAGAAAGATAATGATTTTTTCTTTATATGACAAACGGGAGAGTTATCAGTCACTACGTCACAATCCACCTACCAATCTGCCGATTTCAGATACACATAGATTTTATTGATCTCTTATTCAAAACTATAACGTTCTTATTCACCGGCCCGATTTAGTTCACCATCTTATTTTTATGTTTTCGTACCAATAAAACTTACTACAAGGGATGGATTGCCTTTGGACATATCACTGTTCGTACTTTGAATTTTCCTCTTTGTTCTATTTTTTTCTAAACTTCGAAAATAGTTATAGAAATTATGTATACGCTGTAAATGCCGCCTATATATTACATTAACAAGTTCATTTGTCTTTTTCTTCGTACAGTGCATATACACAGCATTGTTAACATAATTATACTGGATATATTTAGTTGAAGATCTAGATTTTACTTCTGTTATATGATATTGACATCTGTAAAATAAGTATCTGTAAAATAAGTATCATTTTGTTGTTACTGTAAGCCTATCCAAATTAAAATCACAAGAATCTCACATTTTCTAAGCATACAAACTACTGACTCTATTTGTTTAATCGTTATTGAGGTTATAAAAGAATCTCTCAATGCAAGATGACGAAGAATTTGGCAAATATTTGATCCTTACCACCTTTGATCACATTTCCCGTCTATACGCTGTAAAATCTCTCGCCATGTTTCTTAAGCATGTCATGTTATCTCATAATGTATGCCGCTAAGACGCTTCGCCACGAACGATTAACAAAATGCAAAATACACGATACACTCTCTCAGATGAAGGATCATCCCCCATGTAAATCTTTCTTTTGTTTCCATGTCCGTTTCTTTATTTGGTCTGCACAGGCATCGAAACACCCACTTTTTCCAGATTATCTCCTCCTCGCAATCTATCTTTCTCTAATCGTTCTCAGAATCAGACTATAGTTGTTCTGTCAGTTACTTTTCCATTTTCCTTCTCCATTTCTCCATTTTGAAAAGTACATCTTTTCCTTTAAATAAATACCCCTTTCCACCTCTGATGATTAAGTGCCCCTTTTATCTTGACACGTGCCCCTTTTCATTTTGATAAGCACCCCACATTTCTTTCTGTTTATTATGTGCATGTGTTTAGTACTCCCTATGGACAAAGTGTCCTATTTCAGGATATCATGCAATTGTTGATTAGATTTATATCTATCCCGGATAATAGGGATCCCAGAGAAGAAAAGTCTGAAAGCCAGTGTTTATTATGTGGCAAGCATTCAGGGGGTCTCTACTATCAAGGTTCCATGCCTGATTGCATCTCTGGCAGATATGGGTTATCTTATCGTTATTTATTTGAGGTTTGAATTCCTTTTCTCATAAAAGAATAGACGAGAAAATATTTGATAAAGACCCCCAAAGCCTAACAAAAAAATGCACATTTAACCCCATATTTAGGTAATTGAGAATAAATTGTATATATTACATTATTTCGATGTCCTTCTTGTTCTTCTTCCTTTCCATTTTTTCTTTAACATTGATCATGAAAGTGTTCTTCTCTACCTGTACATGAATGTTTGGTATTATATGGTTTTATAGTCAATTATTAACTATTACCGATGTAAATTTTGTGCTGCTGTGGGGGTTGTCTGTTTATTGTTTTAACACAGCAGGTAAAACAACAGGTAGAACATCATCGTAGCTGACCATTATATCAGCTATTTACTTTTATTAAGAAATGTATATATTTCTTTTAAAAAATGAACGAGAAAGAGAAAGAGAATTTCAAGACAAAAATTGTTTTATTTCATCAAATTGTAGAGTTTTAGGTTGAGTTTTTATTCAGAATCATCTTATGTGATAAGAATTAATAACAGATCGGGTGACTGGGACAGGGAAAAGTTAAGAGGGGGTTAAGAAGATGATAGAAGTAAATACAGATAGAGGGAGAGAGAGGGAGAAATATAGAAAGAGAGAGAGAGAGAGAGAGAGAGGGAGAGAGAGGGAGAAATATAGAAAGAGAGAGAGAGAGAGAGAGAGAGAGAGAGGAAGGAAGATAAGTGATCTAGGTAGACTGAGAGAGAGGGGGAATAGAGAGAGAGAGAGAGCGAAAAAGAGAGAGAGAGAGAGAGAGAGAGCGATCGAACAATAACGACGTCTTATAAAGGGCCGTTTGTGATATGACACCAAAGACAGAGACTCGTAAAAATGGCGGAATAATATGAAATCTATAATTCGTTATCACTTTAATCGAGCATGGTGACACCCTTAAATGTCGATTCTTGGTCCGGATATGATTACCAATGAAGCGAAACGCATGTTTTCGACTAAATTTTAGCAAATTGTACTGCTTTGTACAAAATGTTTGGTAATTCATTCAATAATTGTCTAAGAGTGTTCCAATGCTTCACATACACAGTGCGTCCGATAAAGAAATGAAACTCGGAATCAAACAATTATTGTGAACAATTAATAAGCTACTAAATATTATTTCTTGCTTTTTATGAATTATAAGACATAATTATGCTATTTGATGATACAATGATTACGTATACCAAAATCTGTTGCTTGGTGAAGCGTTTATGAATAAATGCAATTAAAGTATCATTAAAGCCAAACTTTGGAGAAAAGGTTATATAGACATGGCCTAAAAGAGAAATTAATACACTTTCACCTCATTTAACATGCAGAGGAAATGAAATGTCGAGGTTTTGGTTCAGCTCGGCTTGTACATGGACGTGTTTCTGACCAACTTCACTGAAATTTAGAATTATCTTAACAAAGTTATACGATATTTCCCAAATTCTAAAACGATTGTTCCAAGGCGAGACATGAATGAGCTGAAAGGTAAATACGTAAGGCCATGCCTTGAACCATGATGCATAGCCGCAAGGAGGATTTTTTTCTTTAGGGGGCCGGGGTAAAATGCAATGAATTATTGATAATTAATTCTTTTTTGTAATTTATTTGTGGCGGCTGCCCCATACCCTTGCCCCCGCTGCGTACAGTCATGGTTCAGTAGCAAAGTATTGGACTCGTAACTGTGAGGCGTCAGGATCATAGCCGTGACTATTAGCTATATCAGTACCCTTTTGTGAGGCATTAATCCCCATTACCGTCAGTTAAGACTGCAGGACATAGGTTCCCTCGTTGATAAACACAGTAGAATATGCACATGATTTAGCAGTCACGCACATCAAACACTCGGAAATTATTATTCTATAACATCTCAGAATGTATACTATTATCTAGATCTATTAGGAATAAATCATTGTCAAAATCATTCCATGAATTGGGGTAAAAAATATATTTCACCTTTATGACCTACAGTGTACATAGGCGTAATTGTTTAGGCCAAATTATGTAGGCCTTTTGTGAGATTCTGGAATCATTACAATGATAACACAATTATATCAATCTCGCTGAAAAAACCATTGGACACAAATATATGATTCCAGCACTGTTTCAGTGTTTTTCTTTCTATTTTTCTTGGTCCAAAACAACCCACTTACTTTACAATGAAAAAAACATTTGTTATCTTAAAATGCAGTTTCACAAAATTTACTCAATTGTATACTCACTTGATCCAGGATTATTCAGTCTTTAGACTGTTGTTATTATCCATGGTTTCCTTTGGTTGGAGTTGTCATGATATTTATCTGGGGCATCTTTCCTCCAGTTCTCAAGTCCAGATTTGAAGCAATTGATACTCTTCACAACATCACCTGGAAGACAACTATGATTACTTTTAATACATTATTATTTCAAATGAATCATATTTCCGTGCAATATGGCTTACAAATTCTATTTGTTTTTCTCATTATCAACTCTTGAGACAGACACGATTCACATTATCATGGTTATGAGCCTAAATTTTGACTTTTTTTTTTATAAGAGAGGAAGTCGTGAAATACATTTTTTTTTCAGGCGAATCTTGCATTGTAATAAGTGTAGCGTCGTCGTATTTTATACGTTAGAAAGTAAAGAGAGATTTGGACAGTGAAAAGGGAAGAGAATGAGATAAATGGAAGGAGATTAAGGAAGAGTAGTAGAAAGAAAGGATGATATGTGTGGTTACCATCTTTTACTCTTCCAAAAAATGAAAACAGCAAATACAATGTCTTGCTCTTTTACCTAGGGCCTACTTAAGTGAACCTTAACACAATATATCCACAACTAAAAAGTTAACAAGTCGCCCTCTATAGATAAAAAGGATTACATTCAGTTCAAAGGTGCTTGATAGCTGCGCGCGCACTCTATGTGGGAAAACCCTATTCTATTTATAAGATTCACAAACTGTATTATTTTCACAGGCAATCTCGTGCGAGTTTAGCATTGTAATCATATTTGTATTGCTGTATACACTTTAACAGAGACTCAGTACTTTTGATCAAAATTACATATTTGAATTCAACGTGAGAAAATGGTACAGAACTGCATGCAGTTAGGACACACTTGTACGTACACCAAAGATACTGGTACAATTATAGTAGGTCCATGGTACAATCTGCTACTTCGCTGCATATTGTTTGTGCTTGCATGAATTGACTGTTGGCTTTTATTACCATTAGCTGATCACACTGTAAGCTTTATTGGACATTGGATATATTTGTAGAGTGAGCTTGTGTTAGTAATAGCCCCAAATCCGATATTTGTACCAATTATGGCCGAGAAGACTGGGGAAGAGAAAGCTCCAAGCTCTCCAGAAAACCTGACGTGTCCACTATGTCTTGATATCTTCGACGAGGCAACAAACCTGACTTCATGCGGACACACCTTCTGTCGGAAATGTCTCAAGAACTATGACCTGTCCCACCAAGACCTTGGTCACATGATCTGTCCTCTCTGCAGGAATACCACCGAGTTGTCTGCGAACCGTGTCGATGATTTCCTCACCAACGTGACGGTCAACGGACTCGTAGACGATTACCACGCCAAGTGTGGAGGGATGAATGCTGTCCTCGAGACGCGTCCAAAATGCACTGCATGCAAGTTTCAGCGAGATGCTGTCTCATTCTGTGAAACGTGTAATTTCTATATGTGCACTAATTGCGACTGCAGCCATGAGCAGTCACACTTTGAAGGTCACGAGATTGTATCCATACAAGATATCATCAACGGGAAGGTCAGCGTTGGTCATCAATCCGAGAAGTGCTGCATCCACAAACAAGAGAACAAAGATATGTTTTGTGCGGATTGTAAGGTCCACGTCTGTTTCAAGTGCGTCATCGTCGATCATCAAATTCACAAAATCAAGAATCAGGTTCATTTCGAGCAGGAGTTACGGCTTAAGGTAAACGTGATTTCACTTAAGGTACCATAGGCGCCAGAAGCGGGGAGGGGGCGCACCCTTTCAAATTCTAAAATTCTCTGTCCGTCTCTACGCTTCATCGTACATTAATAGATGTACCTTTTCTTTCAGAAGCATCAAATCGGAGAGGCTAGTAAAAAAAAATTGTATCAAGGTGGCAGCTAAAATAATTTCGCGGTATATCGATTAGTTTTCAATAGTTCTGCATAGATTACAAAATACATGTTTTCAGTAATCCATGTCGACTCCCTAAATGTAGCTTCTCGTAAGAGAAAGGAACAACCGATGAAATGGCATGAACTAGTTATGATGTATCAGAATGTTTAGTATTCTGCTGTAGCTACACAATTACAGAATGCTCTACCCCAAGGCCCAATAAACGGGAAGCAGGTAATTCCCTCACCGGCGCGCTAGACAATTTAGCACAATTACATTTGATAATATTACAGAATAGAAAAGCTTTTTAATTGCTTTAAAATATGGAATCAACTTTATAAAACGCTATCTTTTTCATCTCGATCACTAAGCTTCCTCGCATTTCAATAGCTGGAATATTTCTTATCATTGAAGAAGCTCTGTCGACTAATTATGGTCTTGAAGCGGGTAGACCGAAAAAACCAATGCACTTCTCTCTAGTAAAGAGGGTGGGACAACACTTTGCCACCCCTCTCACAAGACATGAAGCTCTTGCTTTTGCTCGCATGTAAATCATTATTTTGAATGAGGCTGGGATTTTTGTGACGTTTCAACCTATACTTGATTTCACTTTTCAATTTCACAGAAGCAATCGTTCGGCTCGGTCGCTACACTTCCTCACGTAATAATAAACTCTCTGTCGAGCTAGATGATCATTAATATTATAGAAACGCTTTTATATGATGTATGTTTAAGTGAAACATTGTTGGATTGTGTTATATGGGGACCTCTTACAAGCCCAGCTTTTCTAAGGTCTCCACTTTCTTTCATTTGGATTATATATCGACTTAAAATTGCACTTAAATTGTTTTTTCTTATGCTGTTTTTTGTTCTATTATTATATGTAAAAATGTTGTGAAAGAAAGAAATAAAATGAACCTTGAACCTTGAACCTTGTTTAATATAATAATAATATTTAATTTTTATATAGCGCTTATTACAAATGTCTCTAAGCGCTTTACAAATATACTATTACCCCGGTCATTGGATTCAGTGCTTGCACGCACAGTGTAAGCCCCAATCCGACATTCTTAAATCTGCTTCTGCGTTTCAAAACATAATTATGCTTTAATAAAAAAGCTACATTCCAATCCGATACTTCAAAAATAGAGAAAATCCATATATTTTTCAAAACATTATTATTTATATATATCACGAAACATACAATTGAAAGGAAAAATTGTTGCTTGTCGCTGAGGCGGGTGGGGGGGGCTCATTGAAGTTAGTATTAAAGCTTAGCTACATTTCATAGAGCACATTAGTTAAAGATTCTTGGTAAAATAATCCAGAGTGTTTAGTAATATCATCTCAATTTTAATTCAGTTCAGTTCAGTCATTTTTTTTAGAACCATTTAAAATTAATAATATAAGGCATGTAGTGTAAAAATAAAACAAAATGAATAGGATGCCTCTTTAAAGCTAAGGCTTCATAAAAACGGAGCACTCAATACCTATAGGCCTAATTCTTTCTTCTCTTCCTGTTTTTCTGTTTTTCTCAATCTCCCTGTCTCTTCGTTATCACCTCCATTTTGTGGTTTACCTTTTAATGGGTGAAAAGGGAACCTGCCCAGATTACCCACATAACTTTGTAGTTACCTTTTTCTAGGAATTGAAAATTTTAATCCTCGAAAATCATTGAGATAAATGTATGGAATCAATGAATCATTATTTAGTTTCCGTGCAAAAGGGCCCATACCAATTGTTATCTTTTGTAAGTACTTTGCATCAAAATAACAATACATATATATTTGTCGTTGTTTATGATTATGATGACGATGCTGATTATAAAAATACTATTACTAGCTCTGTGTATCTGATATTAATGCATTTATAGAAATGGACTTATTTGGTTGCATTACTTTTTGTAGGATACATGATGAAGGGTCCTGGTTCTATTTTTATGTTAAACATAAGACGCGCACAAAATCAGGTTCCATGTAATTGGCATACATCTCAATCTACAACATGTTCTTTTCATTTCTCTATTATTCATTTCTATATTAGGTGAACGACCTAGTCCAGCGTTGTGCCACTAAGAAATCAGAACTGGAGAAGAACATTCAGAATGTGGAAGTACAACGCCATGAAGTATACACTGCCGTGCAGAGATTACTAGACGATGTCGGTCAAGCCTACAGAATCAAGGCAAAAAAGCTTGAAGAAAATCATCGGAATCTCATCGAGAGCATCAATGCAGTAAAGCGGAGTTTCGATGACGACCTCAACGTCTTGAAATCCAACGATCGAAAGAGGATCAAGGGTATTTGTAGTTCAATAACACTGGTAGATAATGACAGACTGCGTCGTCTTGAGACAGACAGTTTGACAGCTCATACCTTGCTCTGTGAGGAGCTGGATGCCATGCTGAAGGAGGCTACCGATCACACTTCTGCGGCAGCCATTACGAAGAAAGCACAGGAGAAGAGGTACAAGCCTGCAGATGATACTCGTCTTGACCTCGGGAGCATCACAGAATCAACTACTGGTCACACTTCTGTTGCAGCCATTACGAAGAAAGCACAGAAGAAGACGTCCCAGCCTGCAGATGATATTGATCTGGGCATCGGGAGCATCTCAGAATCAGTTCACAAATTGCAAGTCATTCAGTGTGTAGATCTACGGGGAGATATGTGGGGAATGACCCATTACTCTGATGACAGCGTGGCTATCGGATATGGTGAAACACATGGTGTAGATATCATTGACTCGGCTGGTAAACAAGAGCAGTATGCAAACATACCAAGTAACATCGTGTGTTATGATCTTGTGTTTCAAAATGATAGGTCGGTATGCATATCGACTGGTACCAATGAAGCACACATATATTCTCCCAATGAATCCAGAAAATCAACCATCCATGTGAAAAACAGTTGCTATACTATCAGAATAAACAGAAGTCAATCAGATGAAATCCTCATCTCTAACAGTGAGAAGCAAGTCTATATCTATGACCCGACAGGATCTACTCTCAAACACACTATTCCAACAAAACACAACATTACGAGGCAGGTATCTGCCACCAGGTCGGGTTTGCTCGTCACGAGTTCATGTAATTACATCGACTCAAGCGTAGTGATGGTCTATGACAGGGTTGGGAATGCTGGTAAGTCTCTACAAGCTCCAGGCGATATCTACCTGTATGCTGCCGTGGATGAGCAGGACAGGGTGTATGTAGCGAGTGTTGATTTTAAGAATGGTAACGTGATGATGAGGCTCTATGACCTTGATGGTTTGAACCTGAAGGAGAGAGTTGAGTTCAAGGTACCTAATCTGAAGCCTAGTTATGATTGTTGTTACTTGGTTTCCCTCTCCCCAAACATGCTCGCGTTTGCTTATGACAAGAAGTTGTTTTTTATCAAGGTATCACTGTAATAAATGTAACATTGATCTATTACCATTGTTGGTGGTGTGTATACCTCTCTGCTCCAGCTCTACTCTAAAATGGGCCTATCAAGTGTCATATTTTAATGTTTATTATGTGAACTAAACGAATGAGGAGATGACCATTCTCTCGATATATTTTAGTTGCCTGTGTACAGTTGACATTATCAAATATAATAACAATCGAAATGATATGTTTATGCGTAAAATATACCTAAACTATATACTTCTAGCGTTGTGTAATATTTTTCTTTTTCGTATTTTAACAAATGAAAATCGAGAAATATGTATTAACTTCTCTTGAGTGTTATTTCCCTTATGTTGTTATTCTCAAAATATTCAAAATTTTATTTTGTTTGGTATCATATTTCTTAATTTTTATTTTTATTATTTTGTATATTTAGTTGAAGTAACAATTAATACTGACCTTGTTTTTATGACCTCATTGTAATTATGCTTTTCTGCTTCCATGGGTCATCCTATCAAGTCATTGGTATTATGGGTTTATATTCATTCTATAATATTATTTTACTCTTCATACTTATGCCATATTGAACTTGATTAATTCATCAAATTCAACAATGTCTGGATAGCTATTACATTAAATGCTCTGGGGACTGATAATATGAAAGATTAGTCTGCTATGATGTGGAGAAGAACCTAAAGAATATAAGAGTATTATGATATCTTGTAATGTGTTAGGGAAATTCTGTTATAATTGGTGATTTCACTTATATTTCATGTAAATTGTCTTTTTCAAAATAGTTACCGATTCAATTCGATTCAGTTGTGACGAGGAATTTGGAATGTCTTCATTTGCATTTTATAACGGTAGATAGAGAATGGAGAAAGATAGGATTATATTATAGATATTGTAGATGTGATGATAATATTAAATACATACCTCTGGTCATGCTAGTACACATACATGGCAAACCAAGGGATGAAACTGGAGAAAACATAATTGTAATGTTTCCCCATCATTAAAAAAGCACCCAATGTATATGTGTTTGTAAGTGGATGACATCAACGAAAATGCATGCATAAACGATCTAGCTTTAGGAACAATCCCCCCCTTTTTTTTTTTTTAATAAATAAATCTGTTACTCTTTTCCTTTTTCGAAGAGAGGAGGGGAGTGTGTGCCTAACCGCATTTCGATGGAAAATGTTGTTCCGTTATGTTTTTGTTGAAGAAAGAAAGTCAGTTCTCATGGGTAAAATGGGGTGACTAATTCGATACACACTCCAGGTCGCTAGCCTGTTTTTGTACAAAGTTTTGTAAAATACCTTATACACACGTCTTAAATTGTGTATGTTCTATCTTCCTCATTTGTCTTTTTAATTAGAAAACAGTTATAGTTACTATGTATACGCTGTAAACTAAATGAACATTATTTCGTTGCATGCATACGGTATTGTTGATTGACACTGGAAATTCCTTTGGTGGTGGACAGAGAAACAGGAAGAGAAAGAGAGAAACGGACGATAAAGGAAGAATAGTGGTTACCGTCCTTTACTCTTACAAATATAGTAATAAAAGCAATTGAAACGCAAGATACGTAACAGAGTTGCTAATTTGTGTTGATTGATTGCAATTTCAAAAATATCTCTACTTTCTTCTTTTCAATCAGTTTTTGCCAAAGATTTCACTGATTTTTAATATTCATTATTTTAAAATGGGTACATTTCAACTTAACACAATGTTTGAATATATCATCATGGGATCAGAGATTACATGGTCTGTTGATTTATCCTCGTTTTGCCTTTTCTTCCAAGCCGCTACAAGCTGCCTTTCTATTCCTAGTTCTGCTTTCTTTTCTTCTCTCTCCCTCTCTTTCTTCTTCCAGTGTAAATGCTGCTTCAAAGGGATGAAGATATTGTGTTGAAAGTTTATTTGTTTTTGTTTTGTTTGTTCTCCATGTATGTGTGTTGTTTTCCTTTAAATACACTGCCTTCAATCTACTTTTCTTCCATCTCTCTTTGTCTCCTTGTCCGTCTCCTATACTAGTCTTTCTCAAATCCATCACTCTGATGTACCCTTCCTTTTCTCTCTCTTTCTGATCTACTTTCTCCTCCATATTCCCCTCCATCTTGTCTGCACATACATACCTCATGTGAGGGTACACCTCTACTGCATCTATCCGTCTCTCTCTCTCTCTCTCTTTCCAATTTTTCCTCGATCTCAAAATCAGAATCAGTGTTACAGAAAGGAGTGAAAGGTAATTTGATGTTGGTCAAAGATAGTTGTTTTACGAAAGTAAATTGTGTTGAATACTTCTTCAGTGCATACATTTATCTTTTCAAAATTGACCTGTAGTCAGATATACTCACAAACTCCCCCCCTCCCCCCCCCAAAAAAAAATAAAATAATAATAATCAATCAATTAATCAATCAATCAATTGATCCTTGAGCGAGCGTACATGAAGTTCTGTTTTAATAACACATACATTTGACCCCCGCCTTAAAATAAAAGGAAAATTCCTTGATTAGCTTTTGACACATCACCAACGGTGAGTGAGAGATATTTGTATAATAGCAGTTCAACCGCAACAAATGCATAACTGAAGTCTGTAAAAGTATGGAGGAAAGAAAATTAGCTGAACATCTTAAAGGCCGTCAATACTACTGGGCAAGAAGGGATTAGACCACACAGCGAGGTCACTGACAGGTGGCTATCTCATTAACTCAGCTCTCAACTAACATAAGAAAAAAAAATAAACAATCTGTGTTCACATCAGTTGCTCCAGTTAAAGAATGTATGGTTATAATCATTCGCACACTTTCTTGCTAGAATAAAGAGAGGTGAAGAAGAAAAAAGAAACCAGTGTGACATGCACTTTTTAATTTCAAAAAGTACACAAAGCGTAAATAATGCGCTTGTAACAAAATTTCAGGTAACAATTCTTACGTTTCTCTTTTTCCACGACCTATAGTAAGCTCTGCCTTTAAAGTCTGGTTGGAGGGATGATGATCAACAAACAGAAACAGAAACGTGTATTAAACACAGCATGTCTGTTATATATAGTTTATTTCTATTTTATACTTTATATTCAAGGTTAAATTTACAATGAACCGGTTAAATTTACACTTTACCGGTTACACTGCCCAATCGTTAGTAAAAAAAAACCATTTATTTCTATATAGGTTTATGTCAACAAGCAAGTCATAAATATGAACCTACATATTATCTCAAAAGCATTCCCCAATCTTTTGTTTAGTCATCAAGTCAATCAGATCATATATAGTAATGCCTCACCTAAACCATTGAGTTATACATACAACCACATAACTTCAACTCGTACATTTCAATATATATTTCTTTATGCCACATAATAAATGGGGATAACATAAACCATGGACCCTAACTTAACACAACATTTCCGTTCGAAACAGGATGTAAAATCCTGCACATCATCCCGGCAAAAAACCTTAAAGGTATAGACCAGTTTTGGAAACATACCCCCCCCCCCCCTCTCATAAAAGGAAACCAGGAAGCTCTTACCAATCATGTGAAAGAATATGTTTTGACTAAACGCCCCCTCTCAAAAACGAAATGGAAGCTCTTATTACCAATCATGTGAAAGAATATGTTTTTACTAAACACCCCCATCTCAAAAAGTTAAATGGAAGCTCTTATTAACAATCATGTGAAGGAATATGTTTTGACTAAACACCCCCTCTCAAAAAATGAAATGGAAGCCCTTATTAACAATCATGACTGTGAAAGAATATGTTTTGACTAAACACCCTCTATCGGAAAATGAAATGGAAGCTCTTATTACCAATCATGTGAAAGAATATGTTTTGACTAAACACCCCCATCTCAAAAAATTAAATGGAAGCTCTTATTAACAATCATGTGAAGGAATATGTTTTGACTAATAAACACCCCCTCTCAAAAAAATGAAATGGAAGCTCTTATTACCAATCATGTGAAAGAATATGTTTTAACTAAACACCCCCCCCCCTCCCCTCTCAAAAAATGAAACCAGGAAGCTCTTACCAATCATGAGAAAGAATATGTTTTGACTAAACGCCCCCTCTCAAAAACGAAATGGAAGCTCGTATTACCAATCATGTGAAAGAATATGTTTTGACTAAACGCCCCCATCTCAAAAAATGAAATGGAAGCTCTTATTACCAATCATGTGAAAGAATATACTTTGACTAAACACCCCTCTCTCAAAAAATGAAATTGAAGCTCTCATGACCAATCATATAAAAGAATATGTTTTGACTAAACCCCCCCCCCCCCCATCTCAAAAAATGAAATGGAAGCTTTTATTACCAATCATGTGAAAGAATATACTTTGACTAAACACCCCTCTCATAAAAAATGAAATTGAAGCTCTTATTACCAATCATATAAAAGATTACTTTTTGATATCAAACCAGCTATTTTCGTTAGTATCAGATTGTAAAATTAATAATAGCTATAGATCTGATCATGCAGGGATTAGTTTGTATCTTATGTTCGGTACTGGTCTAAAGAGACACAAATATTGGAAGTTTGACAATTCTCTCTTAAAGGAAGAGCAATATGTACAAACTGTAAAGGATAAAATAAAAGAAATCACTTTAGATTATATTGAAAAAATGAACAAGATGATACAAGGTTTGAGGATATTGACAAAAACAGTTGTAAATTTATTCTCAATGAACAAGTTTTTTTTAAAATTCTTTTGATGGAATTGAGAGCATGTACTATTATATATGGAGTAAATAAGAAAAAAGAAATTGATAAAATAGAAAAACAATTAGAGGACAAGATCGAACAGTTGAAATTGAAGTTAAATTTGGGCATTAGTGATAAAGATAGCATATTAGAACAAATGATATCCCTCAAAGAAGATTTGGAGACAAAAAGAAAGGAAAAGCTTAAAAGAAAGGAGGAAAGTATTTTACTACAAGAACTACAATATGGTGAAAACCCCTCCAAATATTTTTATAACCTTATGAAACAAAGGCGTGTAGAAAAGAGAATTATTCA